AGGGGTCGGGGCTTGTGCTCAGGGCTTTATATCCCTCCTCAAATCCCACCCTTGTTCTGTGCCTCAGTTTTCCAACCTGGAAAGGGGCCAGTTCTCACCCTCAGGGCTCTCTGTTCCCCCTCCAACCCCATCCTTGCTCCGTGCCTCAGTTTCCCCACCTGTAAAGGGATTTACACTCGGGGCTTCCTATTTATCCCCCAAATCCCATCAGCACCTCACTTCCTCCACCTGTAAAGGGGATTATTTCTCACCCTCGGGGCTCTCTATTCACCCTCAAAGCCCTCCCGTGCCTCAGTTTCCCCACAAGTAAAGGGGTGGGTGCCCACGCTCTCTATTTACCCCCAGCGCCGCTCTGTGCTTCCCCCACCTGTAAAGGGGTTTAGAGCTCGGGGCTTTCTCCCCTCAGCGTCTCCATCACCCACCGTAGACGGAGAGGTTGAAGGTTTGATCCTCCACCAGCGCCGGGTGCAGTTTAATCCTCGCCCCGTAGACGCCGCTGTCGCCCCTCTCCAGGGCGCGGATCCTCAGCGCCGTCTCGTTGAACCTCTCCAGCCGCTTCCCGAAGCGATCCCTGGGGTCGGGGCGCTCGAACCCCCCTCGGCTGAACTCCGCCACCTGGATCATGGCCCCGGTGCCGGCGGAGAAGCTCCACTCGATCTCCTTCACCGTCTTGTTGGGGGGCAGAGCCGGGGAGAGCAGCACCGACCCCCCCAGGACGCCGTTGACCTGCTGGGGCTGCGCCCGGGTTTGGCCGAAGAGCAGCTCTGGGACAAGGAGAAAAGTCAGCGAGAGGTGTTTTGGGGACAGCGCGGGGGACAGGGCGGGGACAAGGCAGGAACAGGAGGAAATTCGGGGACGGCTCCGAGCAGCATCTCCGCCTGGTCTCTCTCTCTCTCTGCGCTGCTCCCCTATCCAAGCCGGGGACGGGGTGTGTCCCCCCCAAAAAAAAAAAAGAGAGAGGGAAAGACGCCGGGGGAGGACTGGAAGCCAAAACTATGAAAGGTCTACAAGGTTCAGATGCGGGTGCCCCGTCGGGATGCCGGGTCTCGGGGACTGGAGGCCAAAAATCGTGGCGGATCTACGAGGTTCAGGCGCGGGTGCCCCATCGGGATGCCAAAGCTCGGGGAGGAGCGGAAGCTAAAAAATACGAAGGAATCTTGCCAGGTTCGGATGTGGGGGGTCCCATCTGAACCCCGAGGCTCTCACCAGAACAACGCTCCAAGAGAGTCTGGGAGGAATTCCCAGCCAACACCTCCAAAACCTCATTGTCCGCCCAGAGCCCTGCGGAAGATCGACAAGGGTTAAGGGGGTGGGGGAGGCAGCAGGGGCGGCTCCGGGGGGTTCCCTGCGGGCTGGGGGTGCCGGGCCAGCAGGGATGGAGCCCCCCCGGGAGCCTGTGGGATGGGTGATTCCCGCAGGGATGGAGCCTTTTCCCTCCTGCCTTATCCCAGCGCCAGGGGCACGTTCTGAGCCTCCACCACGGGGTTGGTTTGGGGTTTTTTTGCAGCATCTCTGCAAAAATCTTGATGCCAAGTGCCAACTGGTATAATCTCCCTCATTTCTGGCAGCTCCAAGGAGGGATGGAGCCCCTGGGAGCCTCTGGGATCAAGGTGATTCCCACAGGGATGGAGTTTTTCCCTCCTGCCTTATCCCAGTGCCAGGGGCAGGCTCTGAGCCTCCACCACGGGGTTTGGTCTTTTCTTGCTCTATTTCTGCAAAAATCCTGATGCCAAGAAGCTGCTTGACAGTTCCAGGCAGGGATGGAGCCCCTGCCGACCTGTGGGATGGGTGATTCCCGCAGGGATGAAGCTTTTCCCTCCTGCCTTATCCCAGCCCGAGGAGCAGGTTCTGAGTCTCCACTATGGGGTTTGGTCTTTTTTTGCTCTATTTCTGCAAAAATCCTGATGCCAGGTGCCAGTTGGCATCATCTCC